TGCTCTCTTCACTACCAAGGTGAGCAGCAGAAAGCCTTGATGGAGACTCAATTCCAAGTGCTGGTATCTACTACTGATAGCTGGCTTGTTCTGGAGTTACTGGACAAACATTTTGTTTCAGCAGGGCCCAGCACCTCTGCTGCAGGGTGTTGCAATACATTCCTCCTCTCCCTGCCTAAGACCTCTGCTGGGCCTGACTTGGCTGCAGCAACAAGGTCAGAGAAAGGAGCTGCCCTCGTGCTCTGTTACCAAAGAGTTCGCAGCCAGCCTGCAGCCAGCCACTGCATGGTCTCTGCCAGTGGTGCATGTGGTGGCTGGTGGCATACATTGGCTGGCATTGGGGAAAAACATTTTCTTGTGGCTGGAGGGATTGCCCTTTAGGATTAACATTGGGCTCGGCTCTCATTTCAGAACTGGCTGGGGTACACCAAGAAGAAGGCACCTATTGGCTTCCACCGGGTGGTGGAGATCTTGCAGAGGAACAATGCTCCTGTGCAGGTGAACAAGGAACCACTGCTTATGTCCTTTGGCTCTTTGTTGGGATTTGGGATGTGAACGATTCCCCAGATGAGCTGCTTCTTAGCTGGGAGTGGGAGAACAGGTTGCCAAGCTGCTGGCTCTGCCAGGTGGGCGCAGCACTCAGCTGAGTGACCTATGCATCAACAGCAAGTATGGGTGGTAGTGAGAGCTGGGTCCTAGGTCTGACTGCAAGAGGGACAGCAGGCTTAGAGTTGTCTGGTGCTGTCTCCCCACAGTGCATTGCCACCTTTGTTTGCTGCATTAACTTTTCTTATGCTTAATCTGGCTGTCAATGGTTAACCCGATCCATAGGAACAAGGTAGCCTAGGACTCTGAGCTTTGTTGAGTGAAGCTTTACTGTCTCTGGAGTCCTGAAGAGTCTTGTCCTGGTCACTTGTTGTCTTAGGAGGGAAGGGGTCAAGTCTGTATGACCAGTGACCTCGAAAGGTTTTGTGACTGGGGTGAGAGGAGGAGGCAAGAGGTACCTCCAGAAGGGAGATGAGACACTCTTCCTTCCCTCGCAGGTGCTGCAGGAGTATGTGCGCCTGGTGGAGGATGTGGAGACACGATTGAACCTCGCCACCAAATACAAGTGCCATGATGTTGCCATTGAGGTTGGTCCCTGCTGTGCATGTGAAGAGATGGGACAAGAGCCTGCTTTTTCTCCCTAGTTTTCCCATGCTCTGCCATGTGCCACTGCTTTCGTGCCTGGTGGGGTTTGTTTATTCCTGTGGCCTGGGGGCAGTGATACGGTTCCCAGTGGAAGTCAAGTGAACCAGGAGAGTGGCTCCCAGTGTTTGTGCTGTGGAATTGTGCTGTGGTGGGAACTTGAGGGGGGATGGAAGAGTTGCCCTGCTCATCTACAGGGCACCATCTAACTGTGGAAGCATCCTCTTCACTCAGCTGGATGCTGGTTTTGCTCTTTATCTAGACGTACAGGGATCTAAAGGATCGTATCCAGCTGACAGCATATAAATGCAAGGTGGAGCGAGGCTCTGCAGATGAAGAGAAGATAAACAGCATTCTCAGCAACATGGTAAGAAACGCCTACTTTTTCTTCCAGACGCTCATCAGAATCAGCTATAGATTAGGTGTAAGGCCATGGCTGTCCTATATATTTTTTATCCTGGGAATAGCTGGGGAGCTAATCCCATGTTTGGGGTTGCATTCAGTGTAAGAATGAAGGGTGAAACTGATAGAAATAGCACCCTCTGGCCATAGTTGTCCGTGTCAGGGATTGAGACTCACTGACTTGGCCCCTGAGGGATCTGTGTTCAGCACTGATGTTAGTCATGGCTCATTCTCTTTTCTAGCAAATCCGATGGAAGAACTGAGCACCTGTGAAGCAGCCTGCTTGGCCATTGCCTCACCAGTGAAAGAGGAAACTGCAAAACCCAGTCTAGTGCCAACAGAGTGACTCTGTTACTACTCATTGCATGATCAACGTTCGTCAGTGACAGTGCGTGCCCGTGGCTTGTGGGACAGTGGCATTCAGGCTGGTTGAAGGCAGCTGCTCTGATGTAGCCAGCGAAACCATGGTACTGATCCACCAGGGTTGATTCTTTTTGGAATCCAATTCACTTTGACTTGGCTGTAAGCCAGGCATCGCTTTTGTTTACGGAGGGAAGTTGCTGGGCGCAGCAAGGTCACGTTTGCTCTGAGTGGTGCCTGGGCTTATTTGCAGGAGGAACAGATCGATCACACTCGTGGGTCTCTCCACCAGAGTGCTGACCAGTCGCTGTAACCCTCAAGCTGGCTTGAGCATCGTGAGTCATGGCTGTGGCTGGAGTAAAGCCTACTGGACTGTGTTCTCCCTGCATCAAAGAGTGCTTTGGGGGAAAGGACCAGCTGCACCTTAAAGTTTTGGGTTGTTTTTTTTTTTGGTTTATTCTGGGTCACCCTAGGAAAAGAGGTGTTGTATGAACTTCTGCAGAGAGCCAGGGCAGCAGCCTCTGCCAGTATCCTTGTGCTGGCACCCTGCAGCTCTTGGAAGATCCCGTTGTCAGGGAAGAACAGGCACCTAGTGTGGAGCTGGTCAGAGCCCTGCTGGGTTGGATGGGGAGCAAGGAGGGACAAACCTGCAGGCACCAGCAGCTCTTTTCTCTGAAAGTGTTACACCAGGAAGGATTGAATTGCACTTTCTCAGAAACATAACTCCTCAGGCAACTGCTGGCTTCATCCTTCCAGACCTCACTTCAGTTCCTTAAATAAAGCTGTCTCTTTCTCTTTGGGCTTTTTACTTCCTTCCCACACTAAGCGCTTTGTCACTCTGTGTGCTAATCCTGAGCAATTTATCACACCTCCCACAAAGTGAGCGTGCAGGGACATGCTTCTCATGTCCTGAAAAGCACAATGCGTGTCACCGTGGAGTGACTTTGCTTGCAGCAGTACCTTATTTCACTCCCTCAATACCATCAGCACAGATGAATTTATTTTAATGTTATAGGAGAGTTTGCTGCCGCAGGAGTGGTCACACGAAGGAGAAGGTTATATGTAGCGATGTACTGGTCTGAGGGCAGGTTTGGGTTCTGGCCTCCCTGCTGCACTGTGCACTCTCAATTTTTTTTCTGTTCATGTTTGGTTTTTTTCCCTCCCATAATTGTTTTGGTTCGAAGGGACCTCTTCATCATTGAGACCAGTCCTGTTCAAGCAGGGTCACCTGGAACAGGCAGACCAGGACAGTGTCTATTTTGAGTTTTCAGTATCTCCACAGCTGGAGATGACTCAGCTTCTCTGGGCAACCTGTTCCTGAATTTGACCACTCTCACAGTAAAAAAGTGTTTGCTTGTCTTCAGATGGACTCTCACGTTTCAGTTTGTGCCCACTGCCTCTTGTTGTCACTGGACACCACTGAAACGAGTCTGGGTCCCTCTTCTTCGTTCCCTCTTATCAGATACTTACACACATTGATAAGATCCCACCTGAGCCTTCTCCAGGTTGAACAGTCTTAGGTCAGCCTCTTGTCATACGAGAGATGCTCTCTTAGTCATCTTAGTGGCCTTTTTCTGGGCTCTCTCCACTATGTCCACATCTCTTTTATACAGAGAACCCCAGAACTGGACACTGGCATTCTGGATTGAGAGAGGAAGGATCACCTTCCTTCACCTGCTGGCAGCATTCATCCTATGCAACCCCAGATGCTGTTGGCCAGGGAACGGTTTGCTCCCAGGCTTTTTCACATGCCCCAGGCCTTGACATTGCTTAGTTGTAGAAGTTGGAATGGTGTCACTGGTTGAGATTTATGTTAGGAAGCAACAGGAGAAGGTGAACATACCCTTGGAGGAATCTGATGAAGCCATAAAATAAATGTATTCTCCAAGCGTGGGTCCTGAATGCTCTTCTGGCGGTATCACAGAATCATAGAATAGTTTGAGTTGGAAGGGACCTTAAAGATCATCTAGTCCCAACCCCCCTGCCATGGGCAAGGACACCTTCCACTAGATCAAGTTGCTCAAAGCCTCATCCAACCTGGCCTTGAACACCTCCAGGGATGGGGCATCTACAGCTCCTCAGAGCAACTTGTTCCAGTGCCTCACCACCTTCAAAGGGAAGAATTTCTTCCTTAGATCTAATCTAAATCTGCCCTCTTTCAGTTTAAAGCCATTTAAACCCCTTGTCCTGTCACTACACGCCCTTGTAAAAAGTCCCTCTCCAGCTTTCCTGTAGGCCCCTTTTAAGTACTGGAAGGCTGCTATAAGATCACCCCAGAGCGTTCTCTTCTCCAGACTGAACAGCCCCAACTCTCTCAGCCTGTCTTCATAGGAGAGATGCTCCAGCCCTCAGATCATCTTCGTGACCCTCCTCTGGACTCACTCCAACAGCTCCATGTCCTTCTTATGTTGGGGACCTCAGAGCTGAACACAGTATTCCAGGTGGGGTCTCATGCGAGCAGAGCAGAGGGGCAGAATCACCTCCCTCGACCTGCTGGCCACGCTTCTTCTGATGCAACCCAGGATACGGTTGGCTTTCTGGGCTGCCAGCACACATTGCCGGCTCATGTTGAGCTTCTCATCAAGCAGCACCCCTAAGTCTTTCTCCTCCGGGCTGCTCTCAATCCATTCTCCGCCCAGCTTGTGCTTGGGATTGACCAATGATACAGATGTGTAAGGAGATGTGTAAGTGCAGCAGCAGGGGAGCCATGATGTGGCTACGCCTACTGATCCCCTGACCTCAGTGTGCAGGATGTAATGCTTCTGACCTGTGGGTATGGGCACTGTCAGTGTCCCAAGCAAAGCAGGACCAATCGTAACAGAAAATGCTGATTTGCTCCATGGGATGGGTTTAGTGACTTAGCTGTTCCTCACACTCCAATACCAGAAGCTGGATACCAGCTTTGTGAGCACCTTCCAGAGCACCAGGCTGGTGTAAGTGTCTGATCAATTGTATGTAGTGCATCAGGGAACATTTGTCTACAAGGAAGCATTTGGGACCCCCAATGGTTATCCTTGGATTCCTCTGAGGCCACAGCTCACAGGCTACCCATGACTACCCTGTGTGGGCAGGAAGAGGAGGATTTCCAGGGAAATGTGTCCTATGGCTGGGGAGAATGGGGTTTATGTAAGTAGTAAACCTAAAATTACTGTAGAGCTGATGATTTTGGTTGGATTTGGTTTTTAGCAATGTGGCAGGCACTGGCCACGTGATGTGGATGATTTTGGGACAGCCTCAGTGGGACACAGGTTTCCTCTTTCATATCTGTCCTATGCCCTGTGTGCTTTTGGCATGTATTTGCTTTTAGGCAGCACAGTCCAGCTGGTCAAATAGATTGTGGATAGAATTTGCATGAAGGTAGAAAAATGACTTTTTTTTTTTTTTTTTATTCCTTTTGAAATTCAACCCATTTTCCCCCAGTGGAGAGGCCAACCTCCTCCTGGTTGAGAGCACTTTTTCCCCATGCATGTGTGTGGCAGGAGCTGGCATACAGACATGTTCAACCCCTGCCCTCCTAATTTTTTCATGCTGGCTGAGAGCTGCTGGCTCTCGCAATGGCACAGCCCTACCCAGCAGAAAAAAAACAGACACTGCTGCAATGAAGGTGGTGCTCCCCTATGACTGATTTCTGCTTTCTTCTGTGCTCCAGGGGATGCTGTGGTGGCTTTGGAAAAGTCCCCACTCCCAGCTTCCCCAGGTGAATGTGTGCGATTAACCGGTAACTGGGCACTCACCGTGGCAGCCGCAGTGCCCTGGCTGGGCACCCGCAAGGATCTGGGCTCGCTGCCCACGCGGGTAGGGCTGATGCCTGCCACACCATCAGGGGAAATGAACCAGGACAGAACCTGAGCAGGTGGGAACTTGGGGGCCTCATTCAGGCCACCCTCGTTCCTCGCACCGACTATGGTGTCATGGGCACTAGCAGGCTGCGGGTGGTGAATAGTGCAAGACAGGACTCTAGCCGCTTGCGATGGAACATAGGTTCATTTTTGTCCCTGCTGAGCCTGACTGAGAGCATTTCAGCCCAGTTGGTGCCTCTCATCCCATGGGAGTTGTGTCTGAGTTGGGTGAGCTGGAGAGAGCCTTAGTGAACTGGCCAGTTTTCACCTCTCTCCATCTTCAGTGCAGGTTTGTGATACACTGAAGCATGCTCCAGGTTCCATCAAGGGACACAAATAATTCGGACAGCTCAGCAGTGTTCTGCTCCAGCCAAGAGCGCTCTACATTTGCCTCACATCAGGCTAAATGGTGCACCAAGCTGTCCTCTGCTGAAGCAGGCAGAGCTGGGAGGTGCTGCTCTAACCACCTCTAAACCCCCAGCACCTTTGCTGGCTGAAACGCCATCTCCTTAGCAAAGGAGGGAACTCACTGCTCTGTTTTTTTAGAGCTTTCTGAGCTAGTTGCAGTCACTCTGTTGTTCTGATGGTTGCCTCATACCACTGAAAGCATCCCTGCAACTCTCTTCAAGCAATAAGGTAGGTCCTGGGCAGAGGTTCCCACGCGTGGATGCTGCTGAGTTGGCCATACCATGACACGGGGACTTCATAGCAAATACGTGCAGGGAGAAGGAGCTGAGAGGCTGCTTAGCTGGGGAGGGTAGGGGGCACAGTATCAACCTAGGAAAGCCAAGGGTGAATGAAAAAATAGCTTTGAACTGGAAAATGGAACCACTTGTTGAAGGTTTGATCTTCTCATTGCTTCCAGCCCAGAAGTGGCTCCAATGAAGTGTGTCCCAAGTGCTGTGCCAGCAGCTTGTAGATGGCTGGGCTTTAATCTCCAGCTGAGACTTGTGTAATAGAGAAACATAGCATCAGAGAAAGGGTGGGTTCAGACATCCACTGATGCATCTTGTGCTCGGTGGCTGCATTACATTTGAGGACCAGCCACTTTTCTAGGTCCCATGTTGGGAAGGAGAAGCCCTGAGAAGGACTGGGGTCTCACGCTGCAGGTACAACCCTGACAGGTGCTAGGATGGACTGTTATGCTGCACGGGTAGAGGTCTTGTTCCTCTTCTAAATCCTCGCTGCTGATGCTTGGTCCTTCTGGGCCAAGATGTGCCTCTCAGGCTGATGAAGCAGTAGAAGGTGAGGAGGCCCTGATGTATATGACAAAATGCTGCAAGGAGCTGTCAGTGAACATGTGTGCCCACGCCATCTTCTTCTGCAAACTTCTCCATGACCTCAGGTAAGGTGGAAGCGAGCTCCTCACTGTCAGTCAATGTGCTGACTGGGTGACATAGTCATGTCAGGGAGAAACCTTGACATGTCAAGCTCTTCTGAAACCACTGCATCAAACGTGACACAGGCACATCACTGGGCATTCTGGTGTTGGTCTAAACAGCATGAACGTCTCGCTGGGAGGACTGGTGAAGGTGGCTGGTCTCTGTAGAGAGTTTCTTGTGTGGCTCATATCAGCTCTGTATGAAATTAAGCATTATATAGGTATTCCAACACAATGCTACAGTTCGTTAGCTTTTTGTCTGGTTCTGCACAGTTAAAAACTCACCTACTGTTTATATCCACATTTGTCGTTTACTGAACATCTGCATTTGTATAAACTCACTGTCAGTTAGTCTTAAATCACTTGGAATAGTTTTCCTCTGAGAAAAGCAGTGAATGGAGATTGTCTCTAGCACCAAATCAGAGTTTTACCCCATACACCTTGTAGTGCCCAACCTTTGTGACTTGTTCCTGCCACCAGTCTGCGATTTATAATGAGCCAATCATCCTCCACTAGCATGTGCTGTCCCATGTCCCTTCTCAGCAGCAGCCTCTGCTGTCACTAGTCTATCCTCCTCATGCTGACTTGTCCCTGAGCTTGGCCATCATGTGGGTTGATGTGTCTGCCAGGTATCAGCTCTTAGTTGCTGAGCTGCTTTACAGTTAGTGGCCAGTTAGACTCAGCATGGGTGGTGTGGTTTGGGATGGGGATGCCATTCTCACTGGATCTAGCCCCAAGCCCCACGGACACTGTGCATGCCAGGCTGCAGCCATCAGCCTCTGCCTCTTTGGCAATCCCATTGGAGAGCAGGGGCATGAATTGGGCTGGATGCAAGGAGTGTGGGGGTGGGATGTGCTGTCTGGACACACGGCATGGGACCCTTCCTGGAAGGGTAGAGCCACACGCGGTCTGGAGAAACCATGGTTCATGATAGGCTGATGCCAGCTTCTCTTTTTCTGCAGGCAAAGTGGGACTGAGAACGGTTTGTTGACGTCCTTGAGGGACAGCCACAGCCTGAAGGTTGGGTTAGTCAGCAGAGGCCACCTTGGGAAGCAGCTGGCCCAAGCGCTGAGCTTGTTTCCATGCCCCAGTATCCAGGCACCCTGAGAGCCTGGGTAAGCACTCCCCAGCCTGGACCTGGAAGTGCACTTATGTGGACTTTTAACTGCACTTTTTTCATAGCACTTCAGGGAGAACTCACTAAGTAATGTTTTTCTGCCAAAAATACTGAAGGTATGGAAACTCCATTTCGTTTTTATTGGGAAACAGAGGATGCTGTTGTAGAAAAAAATCTTTATTTGGTTGCAAAGCCACTGTTCACCAAACATTAATTTAGTTGTTTGCTTTCCTTTGTCAGTCTCATCCAAATGTGGTGGACACATTAACTCTGTTCTTTGAACACTGGCTACTTCAAGGCTCATTTTAGTTTAGTCCTGCCCATTTTTGTGGCTCTTCAAAATTGTCCTTGTCATTTGCCAAGAGCCTGATCAGTGACTGAGACTCCAGGTTGTTAAATATTCACCTAGCAGAGAAAACATCTCCCTAAATGAGTGGCAGTGCTGAAACGGAGACATCCCTCTACTTGTTTCATGGTTTCAGGGTCAGTTGTAGCATCCAAGCTTCTTGCTGGGGTCAGAATGCCCAGCCAGGAGAGGAGATCAGCCTGCAGCATTACAACAACTGTTTGCATAGAAACTGTCAACTGCCCCGTAAACTCTTACATAAAATGAGACAAGTGGGGATAACGGTCCTCCAAGGAGATACTTGGAACAATAAAATCCTATTTCTAATCATCTTGGAGCAGAGAGGAAGCAGGGATTATTAAATGGCTTTTTATAGTTCTTGAAAACTAGCCAGAGCCCAAGGCTCGGCTGTTTCAGTTAAAGGCTTTAAATCAGCCTGCATGAACGGGGGCCAGGCAGCTGAGCTCTCCGCATGTTTATTCCTGGCAGAGAGGCTGCCTGTTCCCTTTGCCATGTAGGAATGGTGATGGGCAGCAGCCAAAGTCCTTCTGTGCCTCTTTGGGCAGGCAGTCAGCGATCCTAGCCTGGGAGCAGTGGTTTGTGTTTCATCTGGACATGGCAGAGCACAGGTAGCCGCACTGCCAGTGCCCGGGGGTGCTGGTCAGTCACCTGTGCTGGGTCTGTGGGCTCTTGATTCCCTTTATCCTTGCTTATCGCAGCAGACCTGCAGAAGCAGGGGCTCACGCGCTTTTATGACAACACTGAGCTGGTGGCCTGAGCGGACATTACATATTCCTCTGCTGCCTCCCGTCGCACGTGCCATCCATCTGCTCTGTCGTGCCACCTGCCATCCAGAAACCCCGAGTTGTGTACAGCCTTGCCGCCGCCGTCCCTCTCCTCAGGTAAAGTGGATCACGTCATTTCAGAGTCTGGGCGTGCTGCTGCCATTTGGGACCTGAGGGGGCAAGCCCTGCGCGCGTGCTCTGGCCAAGCTACTGCTCCTCACAATTTTATTACGAAACATCTTTGCAGACCTTGTCATGTTTGGTCACTTCCCCAAGTCCCCAACTGCTGGAGTCACAGGAACACTTTAGAGTTTCAGCTTTCTGTTTGTCTAGAGGAAGTTGTAGACTTTGCGGCTAAGGAGTCAAGGGAGCTCCAGATCAAACACAAAGCTGGCACTGAAACCCCGCTCCTGGCAGGGCCTCAGATTATTGCTGCAAGATAACCTGTTGTGAGGCAGCACAGGAAACAAGGTGCAAAGCAGCAGCCTGCAGTCTCCACGGTCGAAAAGCAAGCCTGGTGCGTCGTGTTTCACTTGAAGCTGCTGCCGTAGCTCTCCCGAGGGCTCGGAGTGCAGGAGTATGACCTGTTCCCCCTGCTCCTGACCCTTGGGAAGGGCACAGCCCCTGCAGCCAGGCCAGTCCTGCCCTTCTGCTGAGGTGATCAGTGAGGGGCCAAACGTGACACTGCTCTTCATGCTACAGGTGAGGCTGTTTACTAGTAAAAGGTTTGCTGATCTTGCAAAGGATAACTGCTTCCTCCTCCTTATCAGCTAAACCTAGTTTCTCCCTGTCAGCTAAACCTGGGTGATGCTGGCTGTTGATTGCAGGGCTGAGGGAGAGCAGACAAGTAGTAAGGATCCAGCTGGAGAGGGGAGAGGAGAGGGAAGGTGGGAAGAGAGGGGAGAGGAGGGGAAGGGAGGCCTTGCTTGAGGGAATCTGGCTGCAGTGGAGAGAGACCTGGAGCTTGACACGTTCCCATTCCACTGCAGTTGTGATATGACTTATGTGCACTGGGGGAGAAAGTGCAAGGGATGATTTGATGATTTTTACACACCCTCTCCCTGCCCTCCTTTTTTTTTTAAACAGACCACTACATGACAAAATTAACAATCCTACTGCAACCATCTCTCCATTGGCAGTGTTAAGGTCCACAGATCAACTTTAACACAAGGCAGTGAGGGTCCATCAAATAGGAAGAACCTTTCTAGCTGGTTAAGATGGCTATTGGAAAGAAGTCGTTATAAGAAACTTTAATGGGATGAATCCCAGCAACTGTTGACTCAGCCATGGATGGTGCAGTGGGATATTTCTTGCGGTTTCTTCCGAGCTTCTCTCACGCAGGACCTGAAAAATCCCATGATCGCACCCTTGCTGTGCGGCCAGCGCCGGCTCCGGGCACTGGCTCTGCCGCAGTGCAGTTCGGGCTCTCCCTCTCCCTCTCCGTCTCCCTCTCGCTCTCATTTCGGCTGCCTCCGCTTTCAGGTTGAAGCAGCCTCGCTGCTGCAGTGCCATCGTGAGGCCGCAGTACCCGAGCTCTGGCCAGGAGCCCATCGATGAGTTGGGGGGCGAAGGGGACAGACCCCCTCGGTGCTGCGAGAGCCTAGTGCTGTGCAGGGAACGTCTCCCCGCAGTTCCCGAGGTAAAAGCTCTCTTTTTGCTCGAACCTGGTAGCAGTTCTGAGGAGCCGTGCTCGGTGGTTCCCCTGCTTGTACAACTCAAGGCTGGGTCAGGGGTGGCAATAATTTTGTTAGGAGCACAGCGCGGGGACAAAACCCTCACAGAGAAATTCAGCCACTTGACAGCTAAACCTGGAGCGGAAATAGCGTGCGTGCAAGGGAGTAGTCGTGCACAGGAAGCGGATGGGCAAAGTGAGGTGGTATGTGTTTCCTTCACCAGTTTCTCAGATTAGTGCCCCCAGGGATCACTCTTTCTTTGAGGAGCACAGCTTTGCATGGACCTGCCACCAGTTTCTAAACAGCTACCATTTCCCTTCGTGAAACAATAGTAGCTCTGAGGCTAAATCAGTGAGCAGGAGCTGAGATATACTTTCTGAGCAAGAACATGGTCCAAAATCTTTTTCCCTTCTCTCAGGCACAGCTTGTTTCCATGGATGTCCTGTTCCTATTGCCAGCTGCTACCTCTGTCCATCACAATTTCATTGTACACTTCTGCATGCTCTTCTAGTTCTTGCGTTGCTGAATGCTCTTAAAGCAGCTACCATGCTCGTCATGCCATGGTGGCTGAATGGAATATGACTTTACATGCAGCCTGTAAAGGACTCCTGTTTGCTCGATGAGAATGAGCTGCAGAAAATACAAGATATACTAGACTTCTTACTATTAATTTCAGCTCCCTCACCTAAAATGATCCTAGATCAGAGGTTTCAAATAAAGCAGCTCTGACTGATTGCCAATGCAATTCTTCACAGGAGTGGGAGATGATGATATCTCTTCCCACCTGTGTGCACACTGGTAATTGACATCAGATTTTGTTTGTCCTGCAGGGAAAATGGGAGTCAATGCTGAATGGCTGGTGGCCGTTTTCTACGCAGCCCTGAGCAGAGCCTGCCTCATCAGAAGGCACTGAAATTACTCAACAACCTCTGTTTTCCTGAATGCTGCCCCATCTGTGCAGAGCAGAAAATTTCCTGCCCACAGTTTCTGTACAAGAGTTTTGTCAGCAAAGCTTTTGCCTCTTCGGTGACTCAAGAGGAGTAAGTAAAGGGTTGAATGCTGAGGTACTGCTTGTCCAGGCGTCCACTTCGCTCTGGAACTTGCCTTATCCCACAGCCGAAGCATGGGCTGTCTTGTTGGGCTGAAAGGTGCTGAACTGTGTGTTGTGTTTAGGACCACATACCTGCCAGGGAAGATTGCCTTAGATAATGTATTAGCAATAAAACACCTGGACTATCATCACTGAGTTATTTTGCCTCGGTTCCTGTTTGCCTACTTATCAGGGTCATCTGAAGGCACTGATCAGGACTGGGGCACTGGCTACACAAAAAAAGAATTCCTATGGGAATGTCTAGAGAGGACAGTTCTTATTACCAATGAACTTATGGTAGTTTATGCACTAGACTATTGAGGATGTTAAGCCAGGGGGACACTGCTTGAGGGAAAGGACTCCTGCTTGTACAGGATTGTTCTGGAGCTGTTAGGCCCAGTTTTGCTCCACATGGCAGACTAATGCTTGGAACACTCTATATTCAAGTCTACGAGTCTGCTTGTTTCTCAAAGACCCAAGAAAGAGCCTTGTAGTCAGACTGTTATTTCCCATAAATGTTTCCACTTGTTGTCTCTTCCCAGAACTTTCCCCTGGTTTGATCTGACAGCTGCATAACTGAGAGTCTCCCTTTAGCCAGCTGCTAGAAGAGTGAGATTGTCCAGTGCCATCTTGCTCTACTATACCAGGCATCCTTTGGAGACTGGCCTACAAAGCAATGTGGGCTGATCAGCATCAAGACATCTCTTACCTCAGCTGTAGTGGAGTCTGGGTGACATTGGATGACAAACCTCCATTCTCCACAGCTGCTTCCAACATTTTCTCAGAAATTCCAGAGGAAACTACTGACTACGATTCAAAATCCTCATAGACTATAATGAAGCCCGTGGCAGAATGCTTTGCTGAGATCTCATCCCAGCCCCCTCACAGGACTGAGGGGTGCAAACACCAGCACTGTTCACTCTTGGACTCTTTAAAATATTGCAGCCAATAACCCTATGTACACATTTGCTTCTACAAGTTTCACTCTCTGGACTGCTCAGCAAACTTGCTTCTCCCTGGCTGCCTGAGTCTTGCTTTATTTTGGTCTAAATTTGCTTATTATATAGTCATCTTGGCTTATGAACAGCTTCAGTTTCACTGGGTTTCTGTCGCAGTTTCAATAGAAAACTGAATTACAAAACTAAATTACAGTTACTTTGTAGTGGCTACAGCTTTGGTGAAAATAACAAAATAGGATTGGGCCCAGGGTTTGTTTTTTTTTTCCCGTTTTTGGTGGTGTTTTTTTTCCCCGTGGGGGATCTCAAAGAAGCTGTTGATGCCAGACAAAATAGTAATGATTTAGTCAGGAGCACTCTTTCTGTTGAGCCAGGCTTTAATCAGCACTAATTAATACTTCCTTGCTGGTGATAATGCACCCCACCCCTACCACCACCACAGACTGTGTGATACTTCTTTCAAGGAAAAAGGAGGTAACTGGATATTCTGTTCAAATCCACCCAGGACAAAACATTTTTTGTTCCCTAAATTCTCTAGTTCAGCTTACAGTATTCTCTTTTACTTCCTGCCATCATCTATCATGTGTTTCAGTACTGTTTACTATGATAAACCACTGCCTGGTTTTGCCTCACAGGAAATCATTTCTGTGGAGAGGCCAGGGATTAGTTGCGCGTGTTGTAACTAGGCACCTTGCTTAATTATGATCATGGACAGCAGCTGGCACCACACCTGTGTACCAGTTATTGTGTGTATGCCATTTATCTTACATTTGGGCTTTACAGTGAGCCCAGTCTGCAGACACTAAAGCCTGGAAGAAATCTATTCACCTGCGCTGCAGGGAAGTTGTTATCAATCATTTGTAATTAAAATATGTCTGTGATTGTTTTTTGCTCTTTTTAATCGACTGTGAAGCAGAAGTGAAAGACAGACACTGATACAGTCTGATTTATAGCTTATGCTTCACTTAGTTCCTAGAAGCAAATGAAGGATTGCAGAAAAAAGCCAATGTAGGGATGTGTTGATTATCATCAAATGGCTAAGAGCTGCAACGGCCTTTTCTATACCTGGAAGAAGGCAGAATTCGGAACTGCATCTCTTTGGACAAACTGCAATGAAAGAAGGGTATATTCTGCTGTCCCTGATGGTCTTCTTACAAAAGTAGGTGCAATGTGAGTGTGACTCTCTAGTCTTGCCTCTGGGTGCCCTGCAATACAGGGAGAGCATTTGCTTCTGTTCCAGTCTGGGTTTGTTGCAAGGGAGGAACTGTAGCATAGGGCTCCAGTCCTGCTTCTTGGATAAACTGTGAGAAAGTGAGGGCATCTGCTTTCTTTCCTGAACGGGACTTTCGCTCCAGGAAGAGACCCATGTTGTCTCTGTATGGGAGGGCAATGGATCTGTCGAAGAGAGGCTCCTCAATCTGCAGCAACTCTCGCACATGTTGTGAAATCTCCTGAAATACAAGACAAAACACCAGAAATTCTCATTTCACAGGGCAACAGCTAATACCATTCATTCTGTGTCAGAGCAGCAGGAAAAATAGCTGATTTTGTGAATTTTGGAACAGTTTCACACTTAAAGTTGCAACTTGAGAGGGATCTCAACCCATGAGCCCTGTGTGACATTGTGAAAGCAGAGCAGACCGCTCATTCTCCAGATTTACTGTGGGGGATGGCATCACATCTGGTCTCTTAGTGGCACAAATAGCTCTGCTTTCCTCTTTGCACTTGCAGAACAAACAAGTTCTGCGTGAATGAGCTGGCGTCTATTCTGCTTAATGCAAAAACATTGCTGTTTGCTAAGTTGTATTGTCAACAACAGAGTCTATACACAGAAGAGATGCAAAAACTAATTAAGCAAATAAGCCATATTGCGCTTTAAGAAAATGATGAGTGACTGGCTGGCTGAGCCAGCTGGACCTGGAACTGTCAGTGAACAGAGCCTTGCCATTATTTTTGAAGTCACCTCTGAGAACGTAACCTTCTGATTTGACTGAAGTTTGAAGTACAATTCACAAAGTTTTACTGATCTTTCACAGCGTTTGCTCAAAACCTTCCCTCAACTTTGGCTTCACTCTGAAGAGCAGTACCTTACTTCGTGTGGTATCAAAAGAACACTGAACTAGTATCTTCAGTGGTTTTGATATTTAAAATACCAGTACAGTGGAATTAAATCTAGCAGTACCTGCACTTGTCCATGCTGATCAGCTTGCACGTAATTCAGTGTATAGTTCTCTACCAAACTGCCATTTTCCCTAAATTGCAAAAAGTTTCTATCTGAGCTGATGCTATCGCATTTATTTCTATGGTAACTATCTCAGTTTCAACTATTGACAGCTTTTCATTGATATTTCTTGTTGAGAAGCTGATGTGCCCACCATTATGGCCTTAACTTTGCACTCCTCTAGTACACGCTTCCTGAAAGACCCAAAGGGCCACATCCTGCTCAGAGCTCTGCATGCTTGGATTCTATCGGAGCCAAGTTCTCTAAAACACAAATAACTAGCAGAAGGGGGCATGATCTTCAAGAACATCTAAGTTTCACTGAAATCTATAAGATGTTCCCAATTCACTTGCAAGTTTTGGAAAACATTACCCAGACAGTCTTGTTTCCAAGCTTGCTGCAGTGTGCTGGCTATCGCTTATCATAGCCCTGAGGAATTTCAGTTTCTACAGGAGGAAGAATGGGTTACAGTTGATGTCTCTAACCCATGGCTTACTGTGTCTCAGCAGTTAAAATACCATTATACATAATCCCTGTATCCCAAAGTGAGGGTGAGGCTTACAAAGCCTATAAAATTCTCGCTACCTTTGGTAAGTGTAAATGACTATAAAGGTTGTATCTGCTTGTACTAGAAATACTCTTGAAGGGCTGCTGTCTGAAAAACTACGAGTTGTAATTTGATGCCTTCTGCAGCCAACAGGCAAAGTTGTGGCACTAGTCAATGTTTTTGGTGGCATGTTTTGTTTCAAACAAACAGTTAAGATTGTGCAGCCAGACAGAACTGTGGTGAAATTGCTTTTTGGTGCTCTAAAATAAAACAAACAATGTTCATACTCTAGTCATTGGAGCATAAAGATTTTTCTTTCTTCCTGGTTATTTGAACTTCTACCTTGTGTCCCCTGGGGAAAGCAACTTTAAATCATGATGAAAAACACATGATTTGGCTCTGTAAATGCAGCCCCAAGTCCCTCTGGGGTTTCCATTAGGGAGGGGAAGGAGGGTAATGAAATTTAACTCAACTTGCTTCTTTTCTGAACCTTCAGGAAGCTTTGGAAGGGTACTTTTTGTACCCTGAACTCCAGTCTAGTTAGCTTAACCATCAGTGTTTGTTAAAGAAAAGATGTAGGTTTGAAAGGAAAATGACCAGACAATTACTTGTTTGAAAATGAGGAAGAGAGAGATGCTGTTTGTGTTCAGCAAAGTGTAAAACAAGGAAGTAATAATGAGTTGCCTTTCCGCTGCTTGATAATGGTGGCTCAATTCCTGCAGGTTAAATCTGACCGGATTTTTAGAAGTTCTAAGTTCAGTAAGTGGAAAATTACTGAAAAGAAATTCTGAGGGATATCTAAAAGAGATGCATGCATTTTGCTAAGCAATTTCATGGAGCAACATAGGCTTAAAGAAAGGCTAAGCACTTCTGATGCACTTATGGTGTCGCAAAGAGGAAGCCTGCAACCTCCAGTCGACTAAGGATTTATACCTGAAAAGGCTCAAGAAATAGAACTGCTCGGCTGAACCAATTTGGTTGCCCAGTTTCAGGCCCAGTCATCCAGCAGTCTGCCTGGGCACACAGGCTATAGCTTAGCTTCCTTGCAAGCAGGAAGGGTCAGAGCCGGGAGGGGCTGAGCAGGGAGCTCCGGGACCCGCAGCCGGCCGCACCTGCATATGGCCAAAGTCCGTGACGCCCATGGCGGGCAGGCTGGAGCAGTTCACGAGGATGAGGCGCCGGCCGGTGATGCCGTTGGCCCT